GTCTTGCTGAAACCGGACTAGTCTTGACAGCAACTCACTCCATTCGCAGAACACTGCGGTCCGAGAGAAGCAACGGACTACTCTAATATTTTCTTTTGTCCCGCTGAACTCCAGCAGCTTCAGTTTTGCTCTGAGGATTGCATTCAGAAGAAAAACAAGTGGAAAAACAGTTGCATCAGAAAGAAGAACGGGGTGAAGAAGAAGCAAAGGAATTGCGCGACATCTAATTGTCTATAGGCTGGCGTATTGATTTGTATAATATTGATTTGCATCGACTATGGTTGTTGGTATATTGTAGATTATAAGCGAGGTAACAAGGATTGCTCCAGTGCAATAAGCGGGTACTTTGCTCGAGCGACAATCCAAATTAGCAGTGAAATACTCGTTTGTTTGGATCATCTCAGTTGTGCGATGGTATTCAATCAATGAAGGTGCTTAAATGCCATGGAGAGAAGCTTTGTTTAGGCAGTATCCGTCGATAGCCAGATGTATGGAGGCGATAAATTGTCATAATACCCACTGCAGTGATTTAAATAGCCATTACCTATATTGACATTGATATAAACCACCTCATTGGTTGTTTGTAAATTGCAAGTTATGAAGATATTGACTAAGTGACGTGGAAATGCGCCTCCTACGTAATCGTTTCCCCCTAAATGTCAGGGCTTTACTTGCTGGCAGAATATGAGCCACTGTTACCACATGTAGCTTCTGAAGCGTGTCGGCCGGTTATTAAAATTTCATGTGCGTTTCACACTTTCGAAAGTACTGTTCGCTTCTCTGCATCATACATTATTCAACGTCGTCTCATGTACTGTTGTATTGTGAATCGGCGAATAGCTTTGACTGGCACCAATTTACAATTCAGCGCTTAGCGCAGTAGCATTCATGTGATAAATAGTTTTCAGCTGATGGGTCTTAATTTTTGTACTGGAACATGTTAATGTCATTTATGCAAATGAGTTAGTGTAAAGAGGTTTTCGATTCATTCGTCATGCAGATCGTGGTTATGCATCATACCTTGGCTGGATGATAAGTGTGAATATGAGATGTGGTGTCCTCCTTACTCAGCATTAGCATTAATTAGCTTAACTGTTGCAACGATCAACTGGGAAACCCAGGTTTTTCGAGTTCGTAAACCAGAAGACAACCACAGCTCGAAAATATAATGCTGTTGAACAGAAGTAGGAGATCAAAATGAGGCAATTGTCAATACTTGCATATCTAATTAATTACTGCGTTGTTTTCTTCTTTACTTGCTACCTAAACTACTTAATTAATTACTTCTTTATTTACTTGCATGTCTGTGTACTTTACTAACTCAGTTATTTCCTTACGTATTTATGAGTGTTTGCTTGATTTCACTCTACACGACAAAAGTTGTTGCATGGACTGCTGCAGTTACAGTCCTTTTTTGTACTGTTTATTCTCGTTAAGGCTTACACCTATATGCTGCTGACGCGGCGTACCAACTACTGCAGATCCACACTAGAGCCCGCCAGTTTTGATTTGCATGAGGAAGATCCACGAGGCAAAGGCAATCCAAATTATCCGTGTACTGACAAACCTACACAGAGACTGGTCACCAAGGTGGATATCGGAGCGACGCTTGGCTGAGTTGGCAGACGGGCTACGGAGGATGCTGGAAACCACAGCTACGCCGACATCTCTGCTGAACCTGATCCCGCTGCTGCAGGATTCGTGCTGAAATCCGCCTACCTGACAGCCTCTTCGAAACATAGGGCGTTTGGTTAGGCTGCTGCCTCGCGTCCTCCTTTGTCCACTTTTTCTACCACGTATAAACTGTACTCTCGGATAAACTCTACGTACTGTTCGAATATCAGTGGTTGCCTGCACATTCGCAAACACGGACTACACGGACTAGCGTCTTGGGAGAAGGCCAAGCTGCAAAGCCGGCTCAGAGCGGCAGAGATGATCATCAGACAATGGAAGTGTTGAACGAACTCATTTAGTGCTGGCAATAGTCACCGAGCAAGTGGTGGTAACAGTTACTCACTCTACTTTATGAATACGAAATCCAGACTCTACTTATAAAGGCCTTCAGAAGACTTCAGTTGTTGTTTACAAGTGCCAGCCACAGTTCCTGAGCATCACAGGGACAAATTCAGTTGGGAACACTGAAGGGACCAGATGAACACGCATATCTCAAAGAAAAGAATACATAATCGCCGGAAGAGCAGCTGTTCTCGAACTGGCATAGCATTCATCAGAACAAGCGTCGGTGGGCAAGAGCTAAAGCTTTTCGAAGACAGGGTGCGCAGAATTAAGCCATAATCCATGAGAAAGCGACTCCGTCGCAATCTCAAGAAAACCTGGTTGGAGCAGCATCTCTTAAGGTCACTCTATGCTAATGATTCATTCGTCTGCTTTGTACGTCACCACGAATCCCGTTGTCTAGTACTCGATACGTATTGTATAGCATTACTGTTTTTGCTTAACTACTAACTTACTTACTTTCTTATTTAACTCACTTGTTTACTTGTTTATTTGCTTCCTCGCTAATTCATTCATTCACTCAAGTGCTTGTTCAACTCTTTATTTCCCTTCCTCTTTCTTGATTCCCTATTTCTATGATTAGCAAGTTACTGACATAACAGATTAGTTTCCAACTTACAAACTTACTCGCTCACTTACTTACTTGTTTACTTACTTGCTTGCTTGCTTGCTTGCTTACTTAGTTGCAATTTCGTTTACTCACTCACATGGTAACGTACTTTTTTCTTAATTTCCTTCCTTGTTCCTTAATATTTATTGCTTTGAAGATAACCTTAATTAATTACTTAATTCTTTCTCATTAGATTATCTGATAACTTGACCACCTGCTTATTAGCATGATGTAAGGAGACACGCTGATTATGGCTGTGGATGACGCCGAAGCGGAGTTCTTCATTGTTTCATATATCAAATCACTATGTATGAAAGAAGTGACCTTTCATTTCTTGAAGTAAAATGTCTGATTGGGATGCACTTAGTGACCTTGTAAATCTACTTTGTAATCTGTAATATTGTAAAAACGTTACGCCTTTGTAAATCTGTTGATATTTCTGTATGAGGGATAATTGTTTATTTCAAATAATTGATTTTTTGTTTCCTGTTGAGTTGCGCAACTCTCTGAACTTTGCATAGGCAGAACTTACCTAAAACTCGTTTTATACTTGATGATTGTCACTGCAGCTTTTCTTCCTATAAATTTGATTATATTATGCATCTTATACAACCTAAAACTGTGATCGGTGAATCTTCTCGGTGAATCATTCCTGCTGTTGCTACCCCTTATGAAAGAATCGTTATCCGAGCTACTGAGACTAACCTAATTGAATTTGGTACAAGCTTAACAAACGCGTTGCCATCAGTGCTTATGATTGTGTATTTTGAACTAACTGAATCATCTCTAATCGATAAAGCATAGTTTGCGAGGGCCGAGAGAGCAAAGTTCAATTTTCGATTCTTCTGCACTAATAACAATGTCAAATTCACATGTGTGATACAGTAATCCTCTATCCTCATTCTTCGTAGATGGAGCACATCGTTACCCAAGGAAACGCTTCATTGTTAGCGCATATCAAGGCTTTATCTGAGACCACAGAAGTACCGTTTAATTAGTCCATCCACAGGGCACATTAGTTGTGGCATCTGATGGATGAATATGGAAATTCATATTAATGAAACAAACATGACGGTGTACACCCCGATTCCACTTCCAAAACACTATTTCCAAAATGATTAACGACGTTACTTATGCAGCAAAAGAAGCTTCGTGAGAGCAAAACAATTGGCGTTCTAATATGCTTTTCGAGTAACCGCTGCCGTGAGTACCTCTCGAATGAATGAACACTGTCACTCAAACAAAACTCCTTCCGGTTTTCGGTCGACTCTCCGCAATCCTTCACCTACAAGCGCGAAAAAACCGTGGGGCAGTCGCTCTTGTTTCAGCAGGTTCAATTTACTTCCTTATATTATTCTGCTTATTCGTACTGTTAACTATAGATCTGGAAAATATGAAGTAATGATTGCTGCTATAAGCCTGGAAGCAGCATTTTCAGTTCTGCTTGTTGGAGTTTTCTCGTTGATCAGCCACTTAATTTTGAAAGAGCGAAACAGTGGAACATCATGAGATGTTATTTCTGTCTATATTCGCTTTACCTAATTTATTGATTTTTCTTTTATCAGTACTTCGCTATTGGGTGTCAGGGGACTTTCTTCGCTTTGTTAGTTTTGCTTAGGCCTATACTCACTCCAAAGGATGCGTGCATCAGCTAACATGCGCAACTTATTAAAAATGACGGTAGTCGCGGTCCTTGTTATCAGTATGCGTATTCTTCAAAATATTA